AAACATGGGCATCTCAGAGACCACATCTACACAGGACCTCAAAGGGTCATGGATGTCCTCCACCCCCCAGGCCCGCCAGCATACGTAATGCCTCGCTCCTAGGGTCTAACGGTTCCGGGGGTGGGGGCCAGTCCCAGACACAGCTGACCAGCACCTCTCACCTCTCCGCAGGCCCAGGCCAGAGACACCCCCAAGATGCCCATCCTGCCTGTGCAGGAGACACCTGTCCCCCAGCCTTCAGGTGAGTGAGTGGGGTGGGGGTGCTCCTGACTGAGAGTGACCTCTTCTGGCATCTCCGAGTGCTGGTCTCTTGTCTGCTACTGTGCTGTGTGCTCTAGACACGTCCCACCTTCACCAGAACCCTTTGAGGCCGCAGAGAAAACCGGCCCAGTGAGGCACTCACTGCCCTGCTCTGGGCCATCTTCCGTGGTGCTGCCTGAGGGCCAGATGTTGTGGTGGCCCCTAGCGTTGTTGTTTGTGGCCGTCTTGATTCAGGTTTTGGCAGCAAACTTGAACTTAGGCTCAATTCTCCCCTCCTCCTGGGCACAGTGTCCCCAGAGCTGAGCTGCCCTTGGGTCAGACGCCTGCTTCTGTGGATTTCTTAAGAGCAGGGCCTCATGGCCCCAGTGCCAGCCCTGTACTTCGTGTTGGGTGTCTGGCCGGTGCCAAGTAAAGTGGTACATGAGGCACTCGGGGTCCCAGGCTGCTCCTGGAGGGAGTAGGACCCCTGCCCCTCAGACCTGGGAGGAGGACCACCTCACCAGCGCGTGTTCCTGCCTCCTCTCCCACACACCCCATCCCCGGGGTACACTGTTCTCGGGGAGAAGCTGCATCCTTGGGCGCTGACAGCATTCCCAGGCCCCGTGTCTTAGAAATGAGCCCCCACATTGGAGCCAGGCCGTTGTGGCCAAGCTCACCTTGGTAACACCTTTCTTCCTCCTTCTTCCTTTCCCATCAGTTTTGTACCCAAACCTGGCAGAACTGGAAAATTATATGGGTCTTTCCCTCTCCAGCCAAGAAGTCCAACAGAACCTGCCTCAGAGTCCAGACGGTACCAGTGTAGGTATCTGTCTCTTGCCTGAAGTGGGCACAGATCTTCCAACTCTCCCTCCTTCTTGGTCTCGCCTTTGAAACATTCTTGCAGCCCCGTTTCTTGATGGAACTTTCCATTTTGAGCCCTCATTACAAGTGTTGTGGGATTTCATGGGGTCCCGCGGGCCTGGGGGTTGCAGGGCCACTGCCTGCCCTTTGACCCCTGGCTGCAGGCTGCTGAAGGAGAAGGGAGGACATTAAACCCAGCCTGCATCTGGGAGCTGCTCATGAAGGGCTGCCTGTAGCGTGAGAGCGGCCGCGTGGACAGGCAGAGGCGAGGTGGGAGGAGCTCGTCACCCAGCCCTGGTCCCCAAACTAAACAACATGGCTTGATTCCCGAGCTCCATGGCTCAGGGAGCAAGAGAAATCCCGACAGAAACATTCACCCTTGAAAACATGTTCACTCACAGACCCAGTCCCCGCGCAGACCCCTCCCAGTTAGGTCCAGCACCCCTGCGGCCATTTGTCCGTGTCCTTGTCGGCCAGTCTCGGCCTGAGCCCGTGAAAGTCAGTGGCAAAGTGCAGCGGGGACTTGCTGGGCCTGGAGGATTTCGAGAGGGTGGTGGGAGTGATAACGAGAATGCCACAGCCACATGCAAAGCTGCTGACAAGGGAGGGTCTCACAGGAGAACGTCGACAAGGATGAGGACATGTGGGACCCTGAGAAAAGCTAGTGACACTGGGGTGTTCTCTAAAATGACCCCCTTGATAGTCATGCTGTGAAGTCCACACACCACGTAAAGAAGGTCATGTTTATCTAGTTCAATTTTAATCCATTGATTTAATCCCTCTGTTCCAATAATTAGGACATAAATGCATTTAACCTAAGTGTTGATAAAAATATGACAGCTGAATGCATTTTATAATATTTTAAAGTTTTGTTTTTATTTTTAAATAATCATAGATTCACAGGACGTTGCAAAGGACAGAGAAAGGCACCGAAGAGTGTACCCTTCTCTCAGTTTTCCCAATGACTGCGTTTTACATAATGACAGCGTAATGTCAGAGCAGGCATTGCATTGGTACGGGTGTGTCTAGGGTTCTGTGTCATTTTACCACCTGCAGAGATTCCTGTAACCACCAGCACAATCAGGGTGTTTCATCCCCACCAAGGGCTCCTACGAGCTGCCCTTCATAATCATGCCTGCCCTCCCCCCTCACTATTCTTCACCGGGGCAACCACTCCTCTCTCTCCTGTCCCTTTAACGTCGTCATTTCAGAATGTCATGTCAGTGGATCCTACAGTGCGTGACCTTGTCACCCAGCATCAGGCCCTGGAGATGCTTCCAGCTTGTCACGTGCATCAGCAGTTCCCCCTTTTTACTGCTGAGCTGTGTCCATGGTGTGGATGTGCCACAGTTTGCTTACCCTGTTGAGGGACTTCAGTTGTTTCCAGTTTCTGTTACAAATGGAGCTGTTGTGATGTTTGTAGACAGGTTTTGTATGGAACATAAGTTTTTATTTATCTGGGGTAAATGCCCAGGAGTGCAATTGCTAGGCTGTATGATAAATGAATGTTTACATTTTTAGAGAAATCGCTCAACTATTTCTAGAGTGGTTTGACCATTTTATTTTCCTGTTAGCAACACATGACAGCCCCAGTTTCTTCACATCCTCACTAGCACTGGGTTTTATCACCATTTTTAGTATTAGCTGTTATGATGGGTGTTTATTGGAATCTTATCAAGGTCTTAATTTGCATTTCCCTAATGGCTAGTGATGTTGAACATCTTTCCATGATCTTATTTACTATCTATATTCTTTTCAGTGAAATGTTTCCTCATATCTTTTGCTTATTTTCTAAATGGATTGTTTGCTTTTTTAAATCAAGTTTTGTTTTTTGTTTTTTGTTTTTGTTAATCCTCACTTTCGGATATTTTTTCCTTTGCTTTTCAGAGAGAGTAGAAGGGAGGGAGGGAGTGAGAGAAACATTGATGTGAGAGAGACACATGGACTGGTTGCCTCCCAAACTCGCCCTGACTGGGGAGAGGGGCGGGGGAGAAGTTTACCCGAAACCGAGGTGCCCTTGCGCGGGAATTGAACCCGCCACCCTTCGGTGCGCAGGCCAACACTCTAACCACTGAGATACACTGGCCAGGGCTAAGTCAGGTTTTGAGAGTTCTTTATTCTGGAGTCCTTCATTAGATATGTGGTTTGTAAATATTTTCTCCCAGTGTGTAGCTTCTGTTCTCATCCTATTAAAAGGGTCTCTTGCAGAGCAAAAGTTTTAATTTTGATGGGGTTTAATTTATTGATTTCTTTTTTCTTTTGTGGGTCATGCTTTGCTGTCCTAAGGAATTTTCACTAAGCCCTAGGTCCTGAAGATTTTTTTCCTTCTATAAAACCATTATAGTTTTATGTTTTACATTTAAATTTATGATTGAATTTGAGTTAATTTTTATATAAGGTGTGGGGTAAAGGTCAAAGTTCATATTTTTGTTATGGATGTTCAATTGCTCCTGTACCATTTGTGGAAAAAACTATTCCTTCTCCATTGAACTACTACTCTTGCATCTCTGTGAAAACAGCTGGCCCTACTTATGGGAGGCTGTTCTGTTTCATAAGTCTCCATTCCTCCATTAATCCACACTGTCCTGATTACTTAGCTATATAATGAGTCTTGAAATTTGGTTGAGTGTGTCTTCTCACTTTCCTTTTTGTCAGGATAGTTTTAGCAATTCTAGTTCCTTTGTCTTTTCATGTAAAGTTCAGATTAACCTTGCCTAAATCTAGAAAACATCTTACAGGGGTTTTGATAGAAATTAAATCTGTATTATCAGTTGGGGACATTTGACAGTTTTTCTATTTTCTTCAAATCCATGAATCTCTATGTTTATTTAGATCTTCTTTGATATCTTTTATCAGTGTTTTGTAATTTTCAACATACAATTCCTATACATGTTTTGTTAGATTTATAAGTTATAAGCTTTTTTTTAAATCCTCACCTGAGGATATATTTTCCATTAATTTTTTTTTTAGAGAGAGTGGAGGGGAGGGTGGAGGGGCACAGAGAGGGAGGAGAGAGAAACATTGATGTGAGAGAGACATACACATTGATGTGTTGCCTCCTGCACGCACCCTGACCGGGGGTCATGGATTGAGCCTGCAACCGAGGTACATGCCCTGGACCCAGAATCTAACTCACAACCCTTCCTTCCGACGCTCTAACCACTGAGCCGCTAGCCAAGGCTTATAAGCTTTTTGGAGTGATCATAAGTGGTATTGTATTTTTAATTTAGGTTTCCACAGGTCCATTGCTAGTATATTGGAGTACACTTGATTTTTTTATGTTGATCTTGTGTCCTGTGACCTTGCTGAACTCATTTATTAATTCAAGGAGTTTACTTGTAGATTCCTTGGAATTTTCTAGGCCATAATGTCATCTGCAAATAGGGACCATTTCATTTTCCTTTTCCAATCTGTATGTCTTTTCTTTTCTTGCCTTATTGCTCTGGCTAGTTCTTTCAGTCCTATATTTAATAATAGTGGTGAGCTTGGACATGTTACCTGTTCTGGATCTTAGGGGGAAAGCATTCCTTTTTATTTTTAGACTAAAATCAAACTGAGTCCACTTTTTCCCATTGGTCACTATTGCTGTTTTGTAATTTTACTTACTTTTACTTAAAAGTGAATCTTAAAGAGGTCTTTACCTGATATCAATTAGCCTTGGAAAACGAGGGCCTCTTTTCTGTATAGCCCTGCTCTTTCCTCATTTTCCTGGCTGTTTTTCAAGGCCGTGGACTTGGATGCCGCCTAGTGGCATCATGGAGTCATGTCCCCTCTGGGCTCCAGCCGATAAGTGCAAGATCTGCTGGTGGGCGAGGCCCCAGGGCCCATTCCATCCTCCTTTCCCCCTCCTTTCGAGGCCCCAGGGGCCCGCTGACCCCCTCCTCCCCTCGTGTCTGCAGACGGTGGTCTCTGGCCCCTCGCCGGGCCAGGTGGTGGCGCCGGTGTCCGGGAACAGCCTGGGTGTGCGGCGTGCGGAGATCAAGCCCGGGGTGCGTGAGATCCACCTCTGTAAGGACGAGCGCGGCAAGACGGGGCTGCGGCTGCGGGCCATCAACAAGGTGGGGCTGGCGGCCTGGCGGGAGCGGGGTGGT